AATCACATCATCTCTCTACCAGATCACTTCAAACCTAACTCATATTTCATGTTTTTTCATAAAAAGTGAAAAAATGTACTTATTTAGATCATCCAAGAACTGATGGCCAGTTTTCAAACAGTTTAGAACAATTTAAATTGTTGGAAAAGGGCACTGTTTGGACAAAAAAATTTAGCACAAAAATTAAATTAATTTTGTTTAGAAATTCAAATAATTTTCCCGCATGAATTTGAAAAAATTGAAATAAATTAATATTAGGACCGACCCGACCCACACCTGTGCACGGCACGACCTAGCCGGCCGGGTGGACGGACCACGACTTGGTGCGTAGTGGTTTGAACCAAAGGCCACTTTATCCATAACTCCTCCCTTTTACAAACTTGGAGTGCTCATTGGGGCTCAACCCAAGTGTTGCCACCTAGAGCTTATAAACACATACAAGCTCTGTTAAAGTTTCAATGTGGGACAACCATTTAAAGAAAACCTACTTTTGACTCTTCAATTTTCTATTCCACGGACTCAAAAACGATGTCAAGTTCCCATTCACTCAAAAATGGTTTTGACGAACCATTTATATCGTGTGACTTGCGATGCGGTAAGAAACACGTCACCTCTTTAGACCCACCTCAAAAGACGTGTGGATCTCATTCAAATTTGGGCTTAAAGTTGGCTCAAAAAAAGCTTATAAAACCATAATTCCAACCAAAAAAAACCTAAAAAATCAACTAAACTAGTTGAACCGAACCAAACTGGCTATATTTGGCCACTTTTTTAATATGAATTAATTTGTGTAGTTTTTTTTTTAAAAAAAAATCGATTTTCGATATGGTATCGGTTTAGGCACCTTATGCACTGAATTAAACTAAAACTAACCGAGTGTTTCGCATATAAAACATAATATATAATAAAGTTGGTTGAGTACAAAGTACAATTGACTCACTTAATTGTTTATTTTTTCTTAAAATTCTAGGATTAACAATAAATATTGGCAATATGATAAGTTATTAGTTTATCACTCATATATGTTTGAGTTAAGTTTTGTTACTACTATGCCTATATGTTTTAGACTTGTGATTTTTAGTCTTATGATGTGATGGTTTTAATTTTGATTTTGCTTTGGTGCCAAGACTTTGGTTTTCAGATTATATTTTGTTTCTAATTTTATTTCAATAAAAGCCTAAATACTTAATATTTATTAATTCTTTTATTTATATTTTTGTGAATGGTTGGATTGGATATTAGAATAGTGTACAAATGGTTAATTTAATATTTTTATATAAATTATTTCTTATATCGCAAACCGCGCCAAGTTGAACCATTTGACTTGATATTGTTTAGTAAAAAATTTGATTTGTACCGATTCTCAATATAACAGAAGTGATATTATCGATTTGGTGTAAAATTTCACATAAAGAACAATCGTCTTGAACTAATTATATTTTAAATATAAATTTCAAATTATAGAGACGATTAGTATAATTTTATTTTTATTTTTATTTTTTTGGTTTACCGGCTCGTGTTACACTATTGCACGCCGCGTAAGTAAATTACTCACTCTGCCCCTTACGCGGCTCACACACTCATTCAACGAGCTAACGATTTGTTCACTCCGGTGGTCCCACATTTATCTTATTAAAGAGCGAAACAAACTAAAATTTTGTTGAAGAATTAAGTTATTTTTTAATATTTTTAATAAAAAAATATGCGTAAAAAAAGAGAGAGAATGATCTAATAATTTATAATATTTTTTTTAACTTTTTAATTGAAAACTTAACTTTCCAAACAAAGCTAAGTGTGTGAATAAATTTACATTTCTCATTTATTAGAGAGATTATTAAAGGAGTGGTTTTTTTATCTTTAATTTTTATATAATTAAATATTGATTATTTAAAAAATCACTTTAAGATGATTGTAAAAAAATTATTTTAGCAAATTGGACTATTTATATATATTGGAATATTCTTCTTTACCATTTAATTTTTTAAACTCAATTGATTTTTCAAAAATAACATAAAAGAGATAGGGACACTTTTTCATAAATTTATTTTCACCTACTTATGTTCCATTTAGTCTATATTATTTTTTTATGTTCCAATAAGTTCTATAGATGACATAGTTACCAAAATACCTCTGATAATATTAACATTTACAGTGTGAATATTCCGTGATGTGAATATTTACATTGTCAATGTAAATGTTCACATCGTCAATGTGAATATTCACACCGTCAATGTGAACGTTAACACGTCAATATATAAATGTTCACATCACTAAATTACTAACTGTTCAAAAAATATTTGTAAGGATAAAAATGTCTATAAAATACCTTAAATATGAGAATTATGATTTGGTAGATCAAACCTCTGATAATATTAACATTTACAGTGTGAATATTCCGTGATGTGAATATTTACATTGTCAATGTAAATGTTCACATCGTCAATGTGAATATTCACACCGTCAATGTGAACGTTAACACGTCAATATATAAATGTTCACATCACTAAATTACTAACCGTTCAAAAAATATTTGTAAGGATAGAAATGTCTATAAAATACTTTAAATATGAGAATTATGATTTGGTAGATCAAATATCTAAATAATAAGATTTATTAGAATATAAAAATATCTTATGAACTAATTGGGTAAAAACATTTGAAAAGGGATTTTTTTAATAAATTTTCCAAAGAGATAGATCTTGCAGTTTTAATCAAAATAGGGCATGATAACCTTTTCTCTCAGGAGCATTAAATAATTTTTTTATTCAACAGCAGAAGATTGCACAAAAATAGAACTAATATACAAAAAAAAAAAAAAAAACACCTGTACACGGAACGACCTAGCCGAAAAAAAAAAAAAAAAAAAGCGTACAAAATTTTCATATATATGGTCAATGTGCACCTTTCAATTTTAAATAGAAAACCCATAGAAATAATTTTATTTACAAAAATAATATTACCACATCATTTTTATAAAAAATTTGTAAAGACTATGACATTTTAAAAATAAATTAATCACTTATGTTTTGCTTGAAAATGGAAAGTGCGAGACAACCTTTTGTATAAAAAATTTATTTGTTTGGATAATATCACTATCTCAATAATTATGGTAGTTCTGAAATAAACACTCAAAATAATGTAGTATAGACGAGTTATAATATTTGTAGTCATAACTAGAAAAAATGAGTTTAATTAAACATTTCTAATTCATTCCTAATGAGTTTATGAGAATATGTTATTTTAATAATTTTTTGATTTTGTATTTAAAATACAAGGTAAAAAAACATAAAAATAAAAAAAAATTGAAAAATACTTGAGAGCTCTAATTGAGCACCGTAATCCACCCCTAATGATGTGAAATGTATGCCACTCCTCACTTCATCATCCTTCCTCTCTCTCTGTCTCTCTATTCCACCTCATTAGAGGTTAAAATAAGAGTGATATATTAAGAGATGTAGTATCACTCAAATAAATTAGTATGTTTAGAATGATATTTTAGTTTAGGGGTTATTTGGGAAGTGTAAGATTAATATATTTTTTTACTTTTTACGAAAAAATGTAAAATATAGATTGGAGTTGAAGTGATGTGACTTAAATAAAATAATTACGACCCAAACAAGATAATGTGTTATTTTAACATATGCCAAACAACACCTTATTATGAAAAAAGTGCACTTTGACTACTGTGTACAATTCTTAATTTTTAGTTATTTTTTAACTTTTAAATTAAAATTTAAACTCCCTAAACGAAGCCTAATAATTACAACAAGATCTTGTTTGGGAAGGGTGTATTTTAACTTAAAAGTAATTCATTGAAAAATTAAAAAAGTCAAATATTCTATATTTTTTTTAATTTTTATACATTTTTTTATAAAAAATTAAAAAAATCATTCTTAACAAACTAATTTTTTTAAATTAATATTTTGACAAAAAAAATCAAAACTTATTAAAATAACATAACGTCAAACGAGGCCTTACCCATAACCAACTATCAAATTACTTTCGAAAATGTCTCGTAGCTCGAAAGGGTTGAGCTCGAAACGGCTCGAAAATGGAAGAAGAGGGGAGAAAGAGAGGGAAGAGGAGGAGAGAGATAATGTGTTATTTTAACATATGCCAAACAACACCTTATTATGAAAAAAGTGCACTTTGACTACTGTGTACAATTCTTAATTTTTAGTTATTTTTTAACTTTTAAATTAAAATTTAAACTCCCTAAACGAAGCCTAATAATTACAACAAGATCTTGTTTGGGAAGGGTGTATTTTAACTTAAAAGTAATTCATTGAAAAATTTAAAAAGTCAAATATTCTATATTTTTTTTTAATTTTTATACATTTTTTTTTATAAAAAATTAAAAAAATCATTCTTAACAAACTAATTTTTTTAAATTAATATTTTGACAAAAAAAATCAAAACTTATTAAAATAACATAACGTCAAACGAGGCCTTACCCATAACCAACTATCAAATTACTTTATAGTTTGGTCCCCCCAAGACAGATAAAAAATGTAAAAAGTTTTGACATAATTTAAAAAAAATAATTATTAAAGACAAAAATTTTTAAAAAAAAACGTTTAGGATAAATTATCAATAATTCTTATTTTGAAAATTTATTATCCATTAAATTCTATTCATAAATTTATAAAATAATATATTTATCTAAAACTTTTATTTTTATAAATAAATTTACAACAATGAATTTATCACAAGACTTACATGAATAAATTTATTAACACCACTTATTAAGGGTTCATTTAGAATGTGTGTTGATTTTTAAATTTTTTGACCATTTTAATCTAGGACTAAAAAATCTCATTTGAGATAATTTTTTTGACTTTTTTAACTTTTATAAAAAAAATAAAATAATTATAAATTTAATATTACATTTTACTCTATTTAAATAAAACAGTCTATTTTTTCAGCCCAACATTTATCCCAAACGGGCCCTATGTGTGGTCCAAACACCCATCCTATAGCTATGGTGTATATATATATATCCGTTCTTCTTCAAACGAACACAAACACTACACTAAACAAAACAACCACAATGACCAACAGTAACAGATCACCCCTGCCCTTCCTCTTCACCACCCTCCTCTCTCTCCTCCTCCTCCTCTCCGCCACAGCCTACGGCCGCCACGTCACCGACCGTCCATCATCAGATCTGGTTTCCGACGGAGTCCATGACGGTTTCCAGGCTCCGCCGCTCCTCCTCCTCCCCCTCAACCAGTTCCGAGCATCGGACTCCTGCGATCAAACCTACGGATTCATGCCCTGCACCACAACCGTACTCGGAAACCTCTTCCTCATCATCGTCTACGGATACCTAATGTTCCTCGCCGCCACGTACCTCTCCAATGGCAGCGAGCTCTTGCTGGAGATTCTAGGTCCTGGAATCGTCGGCGGTCTCTTTCTTCCCATTCTCGGCGCTCTTCCCGAAGCTATGCTTATTCTCGGTACGAATCTCCTTTTCTGATCCCAATTTGATCTTGATTTTGTTTATGTCTGCTTGTTTGGTTGCCTGGAAAATGTACGAAAATGGAAAGAATCATTGATTACGCGGAAGAAGATGAAAACAATGGTAATTTTTTAGTCTACACAATTTTTGTTAATTCGAGGAAAGTAAATAATTAGTGGTCAAATAAAGGCAGTTTGTTTTGATTGGTAGAATGGAGGGAATTAATAGTGAGAGATTGTTAGTGAGGAGATTAAGTAAGATTGTGTTTGTTTTGATGATAGTTATTAGTGTAGGAATTGTTAAATTATTTTTATATAAAATAATAAAATAAATAAAAATATATAAAAAATTAAACATTAATGTTTAAAAAAAAATTCTTAATATATAAAAAATAAAAAATATTTTTTTTAATCTCCTTACTATTTCTCTAATACTATCTCCATCTCCACCTCTTCCATCTCAATCTCTCTTCCAACCTCCATCTATGTCACCTCCTCTATTCTAATCCCCTCCCTAACTTTACAAGCAAACACAATATTAAATAATCCCACCTCCATCATAATCTCCTCTCATCTATTTAACTCCAAAACAAACAGGATCAAAGGGTAATTATGTAGAGATCCAATAAGTGAACTAATTATTTAATAGATTTTATGATAATTAATGATATTTTTTTTATTAAACATTATTAAAAAACGTCACTAATTATAAGTTTTGGGGACAGTTTAAGAAAATCATTACAAAAAATTTATTAATTTTTAACTTTTAGCGACAGTTTAAAAAATTTATCACAAAAAACGTCACTAATTATTAATTTTAGCGACAATATATAAAACTCGGAACAAAAAAAGTCACTAATATTGTTTTGACATTTGCTGATTGGTGAAAACAAATATATATGAAACCTTATTAAAGTAAACAAATGCATAAAAGTAAATGAAAATTCTTGACTAAGCAAGATATACCTATGTCATTTATTTATGTATTTTGTGACTCAAGTTACATAGTTTGTGAGAATTAACTACATATTTTATTGGTTAATTTATGCATATTTGTGTTAGGTTATGCAATTTTCTGAAATAACTTCCATATGTTTATGAAAATTTATGTTAAATTATAATTTCTTAAATTTTTATGAATTAATTTGTATAAATTTATGTTTAAATTGCATAATTTTATAAGACAACTTACTAATATTTATAAAAATTTACGGGAGTTGCATATAGTAGGCAACCCTTGTGGGTTCCACGCCCAAACGCTTCCCAATTTTGAAACTTTTTCCAAAATAAGAAGTTGGTGTACATCATTGTTAAAGAAAATAAATGCATAAAACTTTCTCAAAATAACAAGGTGGTATATATATTTCATTAATAAAAGTTTGACAGGCAATCACATGTGTACACTTGTTTTGTTAATACTTATTAATAAGGTATGCTGTGCTGCAATCCAAAGACTGTGTCATGTGTCAGCACCTCCTTATTACTTACTCCACACCTGTTTGTTAGTTTCTTTTCGTTAGGTACCTTCGTTCTTGACTTTTGTTATCACTTCACATCAATCTACTTTATTTTTTAGAAAAAAAATTAGAAAAACAAATAATATTAAGTTCAACACAATAAACAAGTTAATTTTTAAGTTTTAGGATAAATTACAAATATATCTGAAGTTTTATTAAAATACGAATCACTCTTTCTGATTTTAAAAATTACATTCCATCTTCTGAGATTTTTAATTTCATAATAAATTGTTTATTTTATTAATAAATTATTAAGTCAACTAAGAGTTTTTAATGATGTTAAAAATATGTTTCAATTAATAATTTAAGTAATTTTATTATTGTATAGGAGAGCAATTATAAATTTTATTTTTTCAGTTAATTTTGTTAAATAAAAATTCTAATAAGAGGGTATTTGTAATTTTTCAAACTATAAAAACTAATTTTTATTTTAACCAAATCTCAAGGGTGTATTTATAATTTATCCTAAGTTGTATCATAGGGGGATGATAGAGAGCTTTAGAGTTGGGACTCTAAACACAGCTTTAGTAATGTGGAAATTAAAAAAAAAAAAAAATCAAGACCAAAACATTACATCACATGGGGCCCACCATAAATTAGAGCTCTCTAGAGCTCACAAATTAGAGCTCCCAATCATTTTTGTTTATCAAATTAAACCCCATTCATTCAAAGAAAAATTATGATTTTTTTAAAATAAAATTTGATCATTATAACAAAATAAATTTATAATTTTAATTTTATTAATTTAAATTTTAATCTTTTAATTTATTTTTAATCTAAACTATTTGCATATTTTTGTTAAGTAAAATTAATAAAAAAACAATATTTTATTTATTAAACTTAATAAAAAAAGTATTTGAGACATTTTATACACATATATTGAATTTAATGGCTAAAATATTTTTTTTAAGTTGAAACAAAAAAAATAAAAAAAATTTAAATTAAAAATATTGAAAATTTTAAAATTTATTTTATTATATGAGTGAAACTTATTTTTTTCCTCCTGTAATTTTTCCTTCATTTAACTAGTTAACAATTTCTACTCGCCGTGCATGTCCCCGTACAAAATCACACAAGATACTCTCTTTGTCTCTCTCCAATGTGGTGGGCACAGGCACTCTTCCTCCACAAAAGCCACCAATTGGACAAAACTCACACATGTGGGCACTCTTCCTCCACAAACGCCACCAAATCCCAATTTTGTTAAAATGGGAAAATAAAATAAAAAATTATCCTTAATGATAGTATATTTTAAAATTATTAAAACCATAACAAATTTAATATAATGTTCAGACATTTGATAAGATTGGGATTGTAATACAATTTTACATAATTTTATGATTAAGATTATAGCGATTTTAAAAATCCTAATTGAAGAACTTTGAAAAACTCAGGGGCATTGCACCTACCTAGCTTGTCTCTAAAGGTTGTTTTGAGAAATTTGTTAAAAATTGGTTTTTTGATTTTTTTAAACATTTTTTAAAAAAGTGTGTAAAAAAGTATAAAAAAAAAATGATATAATCTAAAATAGATTAAAAACTGACTTTTAACTTTTTGTGTTCTTTCAAAAAGTGGCCTCAATCCTTAGGCCTATTTTAAGAAGTGAGTTAAAAGTTACTTCTTACCTTTTAACTCATTTTCCTCTCTTACAAAAAAATCAAAAAAAAAAAAATCAAAAATAATTTTTAACTATCTTTCCAAATCCAAAGCATCCATTAATGACATGTCGTTAACGAATTAATGTAGTGGGGGCACACACCTTACAAGAGATACTCTCTTTGTCTCTCTCCAATGTGGTGGGCACAGGCACTCTTCCTCCACAAAAGCCACCAATTGGACAAAACTCACACATGTGGGCACTCTTCCTCCACAAACGCCACCAAATCCCAATTTTGTTAAAATGGGAAAATAAAATAAAAAATTATCCTTAATGATAGTATATTTTAAAATTATTAAAACCATAACAAATTTAATATAATGTTCAGACATTTGATAAGATTGGGATTGTAATACAATTTTACATAATTTTATGATTAAGATTATAGCGATTTTAAAAATCCTAATTGAAGAACTTTGAAAAACTCAGGGGCATTGCACCTACCTAGCTTGTCTCTAAAGGTTGTTTTGAGAAATTTGTTAAAAATTGGTTTTTTGATTTTTTTAAACATTTTTTAAAAAAGTGTGTAAAAAAGTATAAAAAAAAAATGATATAATCTAAAATAGATTAAAAACTGACTTTTAACTTTTTGTGTTCTTTCAAAAAGTGGCCTCAATCCTTAGGCCTATTTTAAGAAGTGAGTTAAAAGTTACTTCTTACCTTTTAACTCATTTTCCTCTCTTACAAAAAAATCAAAAAAAAAAAAATCAAAAATAATTTTTAACTATCTTTCCAAATCCAAAGCATCCATTAATGACATGTCGTTAACGAATTAATGTAGTGGGGGCACACACCTTTCGTGTGTTGCAATAATACATTGACATTACTTTGTACCTAATTTTTTATATTTAAATTTGGTTATTATTTTTTAAAATTTTTAAAATCAAATTTTGAATAAATTTAATTTTTTTATTATTGTTTCAAAGAATAAAATAATGTTACACGCATAAAATGTACAAAAAATTTATGTAGGATCCAAATTTATTTATATTAAGGCCTAGTTTGGCATGTCCAAAAAAAGACAAAAAGTCAAAAAGTTACTCAAAAAATTAAAAAGTTATCACTATTCACAAAAAAAAAAATATTAAAAAATTAATTTTACATACAAAATTACAACGTTTCTTAAGAAAAATTGGACAGTTGGGGTGCAATTTTAATATACTGTTGTTCGGCCCATGGGGGTCTATCACGGGTTCTGTTTTGAATCTGAACCGTTTAATGTGTAGAACTAATCGAGTACTATATGTCTGTAAAAAATCACATTGATCGGATATCGCTAACTACATGATCAAATCAGTTTTGTATACAAAAAATGGATGAAGTTATAGTTAACGGTTAAAAAAAACCAATCTGATTAGATAGCTATCTATATCCGATCAACGTGATTTTTTTATAGACATATAATACTCGACGAGTTCTACACATTGAACGGTTCAGATTATCAAAACGAGACCCGTGATGGCCCCCATGGGCCGAATAACACCGTCTAGTGCAATGCTCGAAAAGTAGCAAATCATTTCTTAGCATCAATTCAGCTGTGCAGATAGTACTGCTGGACACCTCACACTCATAGTCTTCTCCTACACACTAATTTATACAATTTTTTAATAAATATTTTTTCATCAATAAAAAGACATTTTTCTTCAACTGCGCAGTTGAAGTTTATACACTAATTTATACACTAAAAAGTCATCAATAAAAAGACATTTATACACTAATTTGGACTGAAAAATTGAGGAGTGTGAGTGTGAGGTGACATTTTTCATAAAAATTCAAAAAGTTAACCTAAGCAACCATCTTTTTTTTCTTCAACTTTTTAGTCCAA